TCACCGTTTTAAGCTCGGCTCGCACAGCTGCGAAAGATACTGTAGTCTTCCCAGTACGTTGGGCCTGACCGTCATTAACCCAGTCTTCCGCGTACCTAATTTCTATATTTAATAGATCAAAAAAAAGTAGTTTATATAGTAAAATTGTCTAATAAAAACTTTTATTAGAGTATTAAAGATGATTTTTTTGTGCTAATTTTTGAGAAGTAAGTGACTTAACAGCAGACAGTGCCCAATCTCTTTTACTTGTAATCAATTATAAATTAAATTATTTATACTAAATTCAATTATAATGAATATAATCCTTTACTAGTTTTAATATATGTATAATATTAACAGTTTTTGCTATAAAGCAACTTTTGACAAAACAAATGTTTTTTTTAAATTTTTATGATTGTAAAATCTAGTTTGTAGTTCAGAAAATCTACATTAGCACAAATTTAAAATTATGTTATATGATCTTTACTAATCTGAGTACAGGAATATATTATTATATAATTTTCATTATTTAAACTGATCTAAAAAGGTATTTAAATTATTTATATAGGGTAAACTAAATGTGATATATAAGTTTTTAATATATTAGATAATAATTTTTTTATTACTATAGTAATAAAATCATATTTGCAATTTTTTTATATTACCTTTAGTATTTTACAAGCTGTTTTGTATTGTAAAATTAGTTTAAAAATATATAAAATATTTATTAATTTTAGTTTTAAGATATTCATTAATATTTATTATTAAATTTAATTTAATTTTTTTATTTGTAATAATTTGGTATATAGGTATAAAAAATAGTTATTAATACTATAAAGCATATATATTCTTAAAACAAAACTTTAATAATATGTATTTAAATAACAATAAATAAGTACAAAAAACATTTATTAATCTAAATACTTATAAATAATTTAATTTTTTTATTTGCAATAATTTAGTATATAGGCATAAAGAATTTTATTAGTATAGTAAAACTGCTATAAGTTTATATACTTTTAAAATTAAATTTTAACAATAGTACTTAAGAAAAAGTATATTATTTAAAAGTTAAATACAAAGAATATTTATTAATCTAAGTACTTAAAATATTTAGTTTTTAAAAAATTTTTAATTTTAAGAGTTAGGGTTTTGTAATCTAACAGTCTAGATACTCTTTTCTTTATTAACAAGATCAATAGTTCAATTCTAACTAGAGATAAAAACTCTGTAATCTATGAAAATATATAAATATATACAAAACTCTATAACTAAGTTTATATAAATAAAAAATCAGTGCATAAAGAAGTTTCTAAAAAAAAGTTTTATAATATGAAGAGTTAATGCTTTATGTGAGAGAAGCAATGAATATATCAAAAATAAAAAAAAGGTACACTAGTAAGTAATATGATAAACATAAAAGAAAACTCTAAAAAATAAATAAACTTACTCAAATTTGAACACCTTTAGCACAAATACTGATTTTAATATAGGATTAAGTCTTGTAGCCTAGTGGTCTAGACATCTTTTTCTTTATAACTCAATGGTTTAATTTTAGCTTAATACAAAAACTCTGTAATCTACAGAAGCATATGAATGTATATGAAACCTTGTGGTTTAAGTTCATGTGAATAAAAGATCAGTATATAAAAAAGTTTTCCAATATGAAGAGTTGCTTGATATAAGAAAAGTGATAAATATACTAGAAATAAAAAGAAGGCATACTAATGGGTAATATGGTGAACATAAAAGAAAACTATAAGAAGGAATAGATTTACTGAAATTTGAACATCTCTAACATCAAACTGGTTTAGTAGATATGAGATATACTAAAATAGATAAAACCTAAAGTGTAATCTTAATACTATACTTAGTAAATTTGTGTTAGAAGTAAATTTGAAGGACTATGGATAATTAGTAACATCTAATAAGATAGTACTTAGATAAAATAGTAATTAAATAACTCTAACCTGTTCTGTTATAATAATAATAATATATATTGTATATATATCTAATAAGTATTAAAAATCAAAAAGTTAAATAGGAGACTCACAGATGGGTTTCAGGTATGTTATCTAGTAGATAACCTATGAATAAAACTCTTAATTAGATAATAACTAAAGTTATATATATGACTAGTTGTATTTTTATTAATATATTCTATATATAATATATAATCTTATATTACAATTATCTCTTTATATAGTTATCTTTCATATAATCACATTATATGTAATCACATTTACATTTAGACTAAGCTACAATTTAATTTATAAAAAATAGCCTTCTATATAAGCACAACTTCTTTATAAACATATTTTTTAAAAAAATTATTATATGCCCAACTGTGTGATTATATAAAAGAATAATTATACTAATAATAAAAGACACACAAACAAGATTATTCTTAAATTAAAAAAAAATACTAATTTTAATAGATATAGAATATACTAAAGTTAGATAAAAATCTAAAAAATAAACTTGATACTATATTTAGTAAGTTTGTATTAAGGGTAAATTTAAAGAACTATAAATACTTAGTAATATCCAATGAGGTAGTACTTTGATATAAACAGTAATTAAATAGCTCTAACCTGATATATCACTATAATAGTAATATAAAGTATTGCATATATATGCAAATAGTAGTAAAAATTAGAAAGTTTAAATAGAGAACTCAGAGGTGGATCTCAGATATAGCATTTAGTAGGTAACTATAGACAGAATTCTTAATTAGATAATAATTAAAGTTATACATATTGCTACTTGTACTTTTATTAATAAACTATTGTATATAAAAATATATAATTATATATTACTAATAAAAGAAATACAGGCAAAATTGTTACTTCAAACTAAAAAAAAAATTTAATTTTATTAAATATTATTTACTAATTTGTAGCTACATAAATTAATAATTTTTATTTATTTAGTTCAAGTATCTATTTTTTTTTACATATATCTAACCTTTTTTAAATAATAATTAAAAGTATTATTGATTAATTGATTATTATTTTCTTGGTATTATTATTTTTATAATATTATTTTTTTTCTTAGTATTATTGCTTTTGTAATGTATTTTTTTTTGGTATTATCATATTTTTAGGTGTTTTTTCTTCTAGTATTTCTTTTTCTAATATCTCTTTTTTTGATATTCTTTTTTCTAAAGTTTCTTTTTCTGATGTTGTTACCTTTGTATTACTATTACTTTTTTTGATATTATTGTCTTTTTTTAATGTTATTAAGCTTTGCTATAATTTTCATTTTTATCAAATTCTTTTATTTGATTAGATATATTTAAGAAAATATAATCTTTTTTCTTTATCATTCTTGTTTATAAATGTATTTAATTAATATAATTTGAATTTTTTTTAGATAATAATTAGAAGCATTTTCATAAGATTTCTTATAGTAAGGTATCTTTAAAAGCATAATTTTTTTGATTGCTAATTCGTTTGCAAATATAACTAATATATATTTTTTTTCTAACAAATAATTAAAGCTAATTTCAATACTTTAAATTTTTTTATCAGGTACGTATCAGATTGTGAGATTTTAAATTTGAATTTCCATATGTTAGCAAGCAATAAAAAACTAACTATCTAATTAAATTAATTTTACTCAATCTTATAATACTGCTTTTATTAAATTTAAAACAAAGTTGTTATCATATTGGTTTATAACACACAAAAATGCTAGTATTAGGTATGTGTATTGCAAACAATTATGTAGTTTTCTTTAAAAGTTTATCTTGACATGTTCATAAATAAATTTAATAATTTTTTGGTAGATTAATTTTATAGGTTTTTAGAATTAAAACCAAAAAAAAAGCATCGAATTTGCTTGGGTGGTTGCCGAGATATATTCACTAAAAGTAGAAAAACTTAAAACGCCTATAATTAAGTAGTAAAATTTTTTTAAAAAACCTTTGAGCAAAGATATCTCGGCAACGACTTAAGCAAGTTCGATGAAAATTTTTTTTCTTTAATTCTAGAGATCTCCGGAATTAAAATAAAAAAAGATTCATCAAATTTGCTTAGAAAGTTGCTGAGGTATCTTTACTCGAAGTCAGTAGAAAATTAAAACACTTATAATAAAGAAGCAGTAAGAAAACTTTGGCAAAGAAATCTCGGCAATTGCCTGAGCAAATTCGATAAACCCTTTTTTATTTTAACTCTAGAGATTTCTATAATTTAAATAAAAAAAAATCATTGAATTCTCTTGGGTAGTTGCAAAGATATCTTCGCTCAAAGTTAGTAGAAACTTAAAACTCCTATAATAAAAAAGCAATAAAAAAATTGAGCGAAGATATCTTGGCAACTACCCAAGAAAATTCAATGACATTTTTTTTTATTTTAATTCTAGGGACCTCCAGAATTAAAATAAAAAAAGTTCATCGAGTTCGCTTAGGTAGTTTCCGAGATATCTTCGCTCAAAGTTTTTTTAAAAAAAACTTAATTTTACGAAAAAAGGACGCCGTTGATTAAATCTGATTGGTCAATTATGATCAACAGATCATGTGACAGTAACTTTTTTACGGCGATCCAGGGGCAACTTTACGCGTCATAAACTAGTTCAATAGTTTGATCGTTTAATCAGACAGATCGTTCATCAGTTTAATCGGTTGGTAGTAGCTACAATTGATTTTTTTTCAAAGTTGTATTCAAATCAACTTATAATAAACTAAAAATTTACAATAGGGTACGTTGAGCAACTATTTCCTTCTCTTACAAAAAAGTAGTTTCTATTAAGCAAGAAGGAAGCGTCTGCAACAGAGGGATACTGTTGGAAGCCAACAATGGCAAGTCACCGTGTAGGGGTGGCCGGCTGAATTCATTGTCAGAAATTACTAGAGTTGTTGAGCAAATAAGGCGTCTGCGACAGAGGGATACTGTCGGAAGCCAGCAATGGCAAGTCACCGTGTAGGGGTGGCCGGCCTTATTTGATGGACAACAACTAAGTTTGATGTTTTACTTATTTATTTTATTTCATAAGATGCTAATCGCTTTATTCATAGTAAAATGGGAAAAAAGAGTCCCTCACATCGCACAACCATACAAGAACGCAATATTATTTGGATGATAACCTCCCCCGATCCAACGCCGCTTTCATTTTTCCAATATTCATTCCCAACACATCGTGTTCGCGCAATCCAAAGATATTATCAAATACTTAATCTGGCTCTGAGCGAGACGGATGATCCAGAAGTGCTATATAAGCTTAAAAAAATGAAAAGAACGGTGAATGTATGTAATTGAATAGAATTCTTATGTCATATTGTAAAAAACTAACTCTGTGCTTCTTTTTGATAGGAGGCGAGAATTTTATTTGACTGGGAGACATGGATGCAACAAAAATCAGCGGTATGTTCAGTTACTTGCCTTTAAATGTTTTAATTTAACATTAACAAAGTCGGATATAGATTTTAGTTCACCGTTCTGTTTGTAATACGAATGTCCATATCCATGAAGAAATAAATAAGGTAAAGCTATTCTCAAAAAAAAAAAACCAACCAAAGTTTATCACTGCTTACTCATTGTGCGCAATTTGTTAGACTTCATTTTCTTTTGAGAGCGGTATAGATGAAGTCATATTTTCTTTTAACTATCTAATTTAAAATCCTGGTCTGCATTTTCATCTGAGCACGAACTTGCTAAAATATACTTTAGAGGATTCAAGAAAGAGAAAAATTGTGGGTCAATCAGATGACGATTCTGATGATTCTGATGATTATGAATATGAATGTACAGTATATTAATAAAAATAATATAATTTTCCTATATTCACTTAATAATATTTCATATCCATTATATAAGGGGAGGATGAAGAAACTAATGAGTCCGAAGATGATGTTAAAGATAACAACGAAGATCATGAAAATGAATATGGTAAAAGCGAAGACGTTGAAGAGGATCAACGTGTTAAAGTCGATAAGGATTCATTCGTTCAGGAATTTGAGAAAATACCAGAATCATCAAAATTAAAATTAAAATCTGGCAGATTGGTTGAAGATATACTTTTTGATTACGTAAAAGATCGCGATTACGAACAGTTGAGTATTCAAAAAAATTTTGACTTCTCTTTCTATAATTAATAATACTAATAATGTACATATTTTAGTCTCGCTCACTCTTACATAATAAATTGTGACGATAAAGAAATTGAAGAATTGTTTAGTGATGAAGAATGGGCGGAATTAACTAAAGATAACTTAGGTATTCCTCAGGTTCCATTAAATATTGCTAAAGAAATTGCAAGATATGGAAACAAAAACTTGGAACAATTGCGCAAAACCGTAATGGAATCATATCTACCAAGTGATGTTTCTTATGATAATGATCAGCATAGTGACTTAGAGTGGATCCAAATGGCAATAAGAACCATTGTACATTTATATGAAAATGGTAATTCTCCATTGCAACGAAATCAATATGAGTATTGGTACACAATCGTGTTGTTCGGAACATGTATAGACATGCTATTTCGTGATTCAAAACTGGGAACAGACGTGAAAAGGTTATTATTAATTATTTATATATGTTATTATATAATCTTATTCATGATTCCTTTTTTTAGATCGGATGTGCCATCGTACGCAAGTTCCAATCGAAAAAATCGCAATAAAAGAACATATAGAAAATTAGTTGGAAGGAAAATTGATGGAATCATTTATCTAATAGAAGAATTGTACGAAATGGGTGCAATTGAAGGCGCGAGGTCGTATGCAGGAATACATGATAAGAAGTATCTTGACGAATATTTTAAATTACCTAAATCACTCCGAGATATGCTAGCAGATTTAATGAAAGCTCTTAACTATAATAGTATGAGGACGGCTAAAGTTCAAGTTTTTGGAATTATTCACCTTGGACTGAGAGTTCAATTCAGTAGACTTTGGAGTGCAGGAGGATCAATAGCTATCTTCAAAAAAGATCATCCACTGTATGAATTGCCACATAACTTCTCGAATGATAAATTTATGCAATTCTTAAAGTTTTTGGTATCGACGTATCAGTATAAGGTAAAAAAAAAGAAAAAAAAAGGAAAAGAAAAAATATTTTATTTACATTTTACAATATTATTTAACGCAGATGATATTGAAAAATAATATTCAAGTTCTACATGAAAGGAAAGATAATGAAGATACGTTATTAGATGAATTATTAAATGTTGGTCGACAACAAACACCACCTACAAATACTACTGTTAATTACTTTGCAGATTGTTTTAGAACACCAAGAAAAGTAAGACGAAAAAAAGCATGACAAAGTTCTTTTTTATTGGCTGTTATGCCAGATGATCATCTTCAAATATAATTGGCTGATGTTTTTATTAATACAAGCGTTTATTCTCGAAATTTTACAGCCGAAAAAATTATATAGATTTGCTAGTGAACTTGGCACGATAATAGCGATAGTATTCTTTAATTCCGATGTATAATAAAAATTTGGTCATAGATCTAAATTAGATTAAATAATTAATTCTGCCTTTGCTAATGTTTAACTTAGAGTACCAGAAAGTAAATTTTGCTTCGTTGCAAATTTTATTATAATACATATAACTATTCCTAATATCTCAATTGATTTAGATCACATGACTGCAGACTAATAAAAGATTTTCTATCGTTGTGGTTTTTTAAATATTATAGAATTAACTGCACTTTTTATACTACCAATCCAGTTGATGACTAATTTAAGTTTTACATCGAATAATCAGAAAATGGACAACATTTATCAGACTTGTATAGCAGGCAGAATTTTGGTTTATCGCAACAAAAACTCGGTGGCCCTATAGCTACGTCATTAATAAAAATAATTTTGCAACTTCAAGCTCTTAATTTTGAACTGCCAAATTTTCAATTGAAAAAATCAATACTTTTAAATATATTAATTTAAAGACCACCTGACCACTGTATTATTTATCTACGTATTGAAATCGCTCCACAATCCAAAATCTTGCGTAACCTACGGTTGGCTTAGTCGAAAAGAGGCTTTTAGATTTGGTCGGTGGTTTGGGTCAGTAGGTAAGTATTTCTTCACTTGTACTGTGGTTTTCCTCAATTACCTCACTACTTCGGGTAATTGGACAACACGTATAACCTCAACTATCACACTTCTTCGGATAGTTGGACTCGAGTGACCACGGCTGATTCTGGTACTTTAGAATACAACAGCCGGATGGGGTGTAACAATATTACGGGATAGAACAGACAATTTCAAGAAGCGGGTTTTTATGGTCTGGGGTTTTAGCGATTAGTTAATGTAGCAAGGGAGACGTTTATGTATTTATTATGATGTAAGGGGCCAGTTATTATTTTAGTAAAGCAAAGTACGGGTCTTCTCCTCCCTTTAGGGCCTTCACGACCTTTATTTATCTTAAAATTCTTTATTTACATTTGACATTCTACGTCTACTACATATGCTACTTCTACTACTTCGTTCCCAACTCAAACTTACCCGACATGGCCTTCGTGATCTACGTAGTCGTAGTAGCCGAAATAGCCAGAGTAGGCCGGGTTACCCTAATTTGGAGTAGCCGTAATCACGTGCCACGTGACTTAGCCGGATAACAGTATATAATTTCGATTAATTTATATTTCGCTTGAAATAAGATTTTACCATGAATTAAAAATATTCGATCAATTTAATTGTACTGTATACAAATTATTAGAGTGTCGCGTGAAGTGGTAAATGTTAGTTTCAATTCCAAATAAGACTGCAAAATGTAAAATAAGAAAAACAAACCACCTATTACGAGTGAGCACCAATTACACATCGAAATCGCAAATCTTAAAAGATCCATTGTATTATTGATATATAAAGGTAGTGATAAAACATTTTTGCTACGTACAAAATAAGATAGCTGCGCAACGTTGTCAGGAACGGGAGACGTGAGGGTATCGTTATTGCATTTAGTAAGTATATAGATTGTTGCACTTAGTGATGTGCCACGTACAGTACAGTACTGCAGTACGCGAAATAAGTTTTAGCTAGATCAAATCATGAAAGTATCGCTATCTCAAATTTTTTATTATCAGCATTTGATTCTTGCACAATGTTGCATATAAATTAATTATAAATGCTACGTGTATTACATATGCTATACACACTATCAGACGCTCGATTTGTCACGCTTTAAAAATAGGTATCTTTGAATTATTGAAATTATAGTTAAAACTTGATATACAAAAATTATATATATATATATATATATATATATATTTTCCTTAAGCAGTCACACTAGTACTTTATTAAGATTTTGAAATTACATTTGCAATTACATAAATGTTCCTAATAACTAAGTCTAATGTTATCAAGTTACCCTAATGATGCCTAAGTGTAATCTGCTGCATTATTTTAAGCAGAAGTAAGCTGGTTGTTTGATTACTTAAAGTTCATAATAGAAGGGTCTTCTTCCTTCTACAACAAACCTTAACATTGTTTTCTTATTTTCTTTCTCAACTTGTTTTTCTTTTTTTTTGCTTTCTTCTTTCTTTCTTTTGTTCTTTACTGATTTGTCTTTTTTTTTATTTGATTCTTTTTCTTTTTTATTTCTTTTTTTATCTTACCTATCATTTCTATTATTTTTTCCTATTTATTGATCTTTTCACATTACATTCTTTACACTTGTTTATAAAATATATTTTAGATTATTTTCATTATCATTTTTATAAACTACTATATATTTAGGAGTTACATTAACCTATTTTGTATTTCTTTTGGAATTAGACCTTTAATTAGCATTTTATTTATTTATTTTCTTTATCTTTGTTTTTCTGAAGAATGTTATATATAATATATATAGAAAAACTTAGATTTTTTCTTCTTCTTTCAATCTCTTTAATATTATTGTGATAGTTACTTTTGGATTCTCTTTAGAGATTGCTTTGTTCTTTACATATTATCAAGTATGTTTGTATTTCTTTTACTTTATCTTAGTATAATTGATATTCTATTATTATATATACATTTGGTCTTCTTCTTTTGAATTTTTTCAAGATCAGAAGTTTATCTATTATATATTTTTTTTTATAAATATATTTCTTGTATTATTTCTTCTTATCATGCAGTATATTTTCTTAGTTTTTTTTAAAAGTATATCTAATTATAGATCATGTATTCTATTTCTAGTTTTAAATCTTTAATTACTTGTGTTTCTTCTATTTTGTTTCTAATCTTATATTTATTACTAAGTTATAAAATAGTCTTGTTAGTATATTAGTTTATCTGTTTTCATATTCTAAGTAGTATTTTATCTTTTTACAACTAACTTCTTCAGTTTATACTATTTTTTTACTTATTATTTCTTTTTTTATCAGACTATTAGTTTTGTTATTTTATTTATTTTTATTATAATATTTTACAAATTAATTTTATCTAAATATTTTTATTTTGATAAAGTTTTTAATTTTTATTATCTATATTATATTTTTCTTTTTGAAGATCTTATTTCTATTTATTTATTTGAAATTTTTATTAATATTTCTTATAATAATATTGTTATTTGTATATATTTCTTTTTGTTTCTCTTTTAGTATTATTAAAATTGTTGTTCAAATTATTATTAATTTAACTATTATTAATGTTTATCATCCTTCCAGATCTAATGTTATCTCTTCTTTTGGTCATTCTTATATTTTATTTATTTGAATCTATCTTATATTTATATTATTTTTGATCACTATTTCTTCTTTGATTCTCATATTTGTTGCTTCATTTGTATATATTATATATTTATTCTTATTTTTTATTATGTTTTTTTAAGATATTTATTATTTCTTAACTAATAATATTTGTTTAATTTCTGTTATCTAATAATTTCTACTTTTAGTTCTTTTATCATTATAAATCTTTTAAAATTTTATTCTTTAATTTTTAGTCTATTTATCTTTATTACTTCTGTTATTTAATCTATTGTTATTTTAATTTTATTACTGTCTTTTTTTATTAATGTATTTGGAACTATATTAATTTTGTTATTTATTCTTATTTATTATTAGCAGTTATCTTCTAAATATTTTTCTTTTTTTATACAATCATCACATCTATTTATTTTAATATCTAGTTCATCTTTTTTGTTCTACATTTATTAGTATTCTACTAATATCTCTTTTGATTATTTTCTTTAGCTGTTTATGATTTTATACACTATATATTACTATTTTTTCTTTCTTCTATCTTTTGAAATATGCTTCTATTTAATTTACATTACTTAAATATTTTGATCATTTGCTTTAAAGTATTTTTTGCTTTTCTTACTTTCTGATCTGCAAAATACTTTTAGTTTTATTATTGTGAACAATTCTGTTTTTTTTTACACAATAGATCTTGATAGTTTTTTAATTGTTGTCATATTATTAACTTTTCTCTACTTATATTGAGTAGCTGATTTAAATATATTAGGGCTGTTTCATTTATTCTAGTTCTATTTTTTTTTTATAAATAGGTATCTATAAGTTCTTTTATTTTAATTATATTTCTAAATATTGTTCATAAGTTATTTTTATTTTTATCTTTATTTTTAGTTTTTTTACTTTTAATATTGTTAAATAAACCAAATTATTTTATTAACAAATTTTATTTTTAGATATTTTTTTTAATTTTCTATGTCTTTTATTAAACTTACCTTTTGATATCCTTATATTGTTCACAATATTGTTAGTTATTCAAGACTGTTTTGTCTATTTAATTTTACTAATAAGTTTTTATTTGCTTTATTATTAATTCTTATTATAGTATTCTATAGCTTCTAATAGGGTTTCTCAAAATCAAATCAAATCAAATATTGGGTTGATTTGAATTTGGTCAAATCAAATATATTCTTGATTTAATTTGATTTAATCAAATATTTGAATCAAATATTTGAATTTGATTTGATTTTTAAAAAAATTTAAAATTTTGATTGATAAAAAATAAACTTGATTTATAAAAATTTTATTATGTTAATTGATCTTAAGCTCTTAAGTAAAAGTGTTTGTTTAAAAAAATATTTCTAGTTTCATATAATAAAAAAGTTGATTGTCTTAATAAAACTTCAAGTAAATAACTTATAATTTTGAATGTTCAATTATAAATTTTCAAATTAAATTAAATCAAATTTGATCATATTTGAATTTGATTTGTTTTGAAAATTTCAGATTTGAATTTGATTTGAACTCAAATATTTGATCAAATCAAATCAAATTAAATTGTGAAATTCTAGCTTCCAAATCTTTGTATTCTATTATATAATTTTTTAATGCTCTTTGCAAATTACTCTTCTGTTT